AAGTTGCATAAGTCTCAAACAATTGTTGCGCCCAGAGCAAATGGCGAAATTACATCCTCAAATACCAAGCCCTCAATGAAAGGGGCCTTTGTCAATCAGAGGCAACAATACAATGCCAGCAACAAACAAAAAGAGATGAAGAATAGCCTTGGCTGTGGGGAGATTTTGTGCGTGGACTCTTTACTGTACTTCTGCTTATTGACATAGATGGCACAATCTATAACAAATGACATGAGAGGGCATTTGAATCAGCATTGCTCAGTATAGGAGGATACTGACAAGACTTTGTTTGTCTGATGATCCAGGTCAAATAATTAAAACCCGTTTTCATTCGCAATCCCAACCTAACCCCGAAATTTTGTTATTTTACAAAGTACAACTTGATGTGCCCGATGATTATGCAATGCCCATGTTGTAAGAAGCAAGCCCCCGGTAGAGCGTCATTCTCGGCGCCCGTGACTAGTCGCACGAGTCAAAATTTCTTAACAACAACCAATGGTTCTATCCCTCCTTGACCACTGTTTTGCGACGTTCCAAGCGATGGGAGTAGTTCTTGTCCTAATAATTCAGCTCTCCGCCGCCGCCGCCAGCGACGTGATCGAGATCCTCGTAGCTCTTGAGACTACGTCCCTGAGTGGCCTCCCGTGGGCCGACAGCCGCTCCACCGCCGGCAGCACCGTCTCCCCACTTGCCGGCGCCACCGCGGCCTCCTCCCCTCAAACCACCGTCCCAACGGGGATTCGGGCGTCGGTCATAGGGACCGCTTCGGTAGTTTCCACGGCTACCGCTCATACCTCCGCGGCGAATGGGGCCAGAGCCTCCGCGGTCATCGCCACCAGCATTCCATCCGGACTGCATACCGGGATGTCCGCCACCGACGAACGGCGGGAACCCGCCGGGTGGCATGGGGAATCCAGGGATGGGCATCATGCCATTCATAGTAAAGTTCTGCAAGTTGAATCCACGAGGGGTTCCAGTTGCAGAAGAGCCATTAGCCGGAGGGAAGTGACCGTTGGAATTAGCATCAGTCCTTGATGGAGCAATGTGAGATGGGTCCATGACATAGGCATTGATAAGGTGGAACTGTGGAGTTGGTTAGCAGCTGACGTCAAGTAGCTGGGAAAGGTGACTTGCCTCTTGCTCAATGGTTTCGAGCCATTCGTTGTGGCGCTTCTCGACGTGCTTGCGCCAGAAATGCTCTTCCTTGAACAACTTGGCACACTCGGGAACCTTGCATCTCCATTTGTGCTCGTCCTCCTGCTTGACGTATTTCAGCAGCTCGTCACTGACGGCATCCTCAACGGGGCGGCCTCCAAGCTTGCGCAGGTCTGCCGTTTCGGGCTCAAGGATTTGCATAATCTTGTCCTCGAAAGTCTTGACCCAGTTGTAGGCGCGAAGCAGCTGTTGTTCTGCCTTGCCGGTAGTACCGCGGAACTTCTTGTCCTCAGTCGCTTCGCCTTCCTCCTCGATCTCGCTGCGCTTCTTGCCAGGGAATGGCTCCCCATTGGCACTAGCACGCGCAACGGCCTTGGCGGAAGTACTGAGGGTGGTTCTCGGGCGACGCAGGTGACCGCCGGGGCACTTGCGAGTGAGCTCATGAATTGAATCGCTCTCAAAGACACAGAAGAAGCAAAAGTTGTAGACGCGTCTGAGATACTCAATCATGAGATCCAGCTGCTTCTTCTTGACCAGGAGGTCTTCGTCGTCAACGTCGTCCTCCTCAACAGCACCTTCATCTTCGTCATCGTCAATGGCACCATCCTCTCCGTCTTCCATGCCGTCATCAACGTCGAGGTCACGCTCCTTCTTGGCCTTCTTCTTAGGTGCAGTGACTGCGGGCTGAAGGCGGCCGCCGTTCTTAAGATCGTCGACACGCTCCTCAATCTTTAAGACGGCGTTGAAGTCAGAGCCGAAGTCTTCCTCAAACTTGTTGACAAGTCGTTGAACCAGGCCCAAGTCCTTCTCAACTCGCTCGGGTGCAGAGAAGAGATCCCAGAGAGCCTTCTTTCTGGGGTGACTGGGAGGGTTGTGCACACCGACGTGGCAGACGAAATCGCCCCTGACTTCGTCCTTGACAGTCTTGCCGTTGACAGCATCAAGTGCCTTCTCAGCAGTCGACACGACTGCTGGCGACTTCAAAGGCATATCGCCATCCTCATCCTTGGGGTCGACGCGGTCAACGACTGCGGGGACAACTTCCGATGAAGGGTGAAGCATAACCCAACCAATACGATGATACCGCTTGCTGGGGTTGGGATCTGACAGAGAAAGCCACTTGAAGCCGCCCTCTTCTTCGCCGAGATGCTCCTTGCAGAAAGTCTCGAGGTTTTGTCTGCTGACATGGGGTGCAATGGTCTTGATGAGAAGGGTGGGCTGGTACAGGTTCTCGTCTCTGATGTCACCGCCGTTGGCTGGTACAAGGTCTCCCACGCCCAGGATCTCGTTGGCGGCGGTTGCTTCACCTTCCTCCTTCTCTACGAGGCCTCCAAGGCCATTAGTCTCGCTCTTGGGAATTCCCTCCAGCGAGAACTCGTCAAAGGTTCCGGACTCAAGATCTTGCTCCCATTGGCTGTAAGCGCCACGGCGGAATTCGTTAAGCTGGGCTCTGAAACCGTCACGAATTTCAGGGACGTATCGCTCGCGGAACCACTGCTCCTTCTTGTGCTCGCCAACGAAAGTGCGAGCCATCTTTGCTTGAAGTTCTTCCTTGTAGGCGTCATACGCGACCTGAATCTTGGCCTTCTCCTTTTCGCGCTCTTCTTGGGCTTCACGTGTGCCTCGGGCACGTTCCGGTTCACGGCGACGGCCAGTACGTTGGCGTTCCTTCTCCTCCTTGATCTTTTCGTTCATCCTCCACCATTCTCCAAAGTATGAGAAGCCAACTTGGTATGGGAGCTTGACGGGATCCGCAAGGGGGTTGACGGTCATCGGCGCAGAGGCGCTGCTGTCCTGTCCAGGGACGTAGCGATCAATGTTGGCTGGCGGTGACTGGATTCTCCTTTCCCGGCGGTCATCGCGATCTCTGCCACCAGCGTAGTCGTCGCGACCGCGACCCCTTGGCTCATATCGGTCGATAGCAGCTGGGGATCGTGAGCGCCGTCTGTCACGGTGCTGGCGCTCATGGCCTGAAAGATTTGTCAGTAATTGACCAGGAAATCCTTGCCAGTTCAAGGCTCAGTATCGTGGAAGAAGCCTCGAAAAGAAACGACCGGAGCCATTGGATGGGATAAATCAGAGATCCTACGCACCAGGCGATCTACCGCGGTAGAATGTGTCAGCTCGCTCTTCCTTGACTCGCGTGTCGTCGCGACTGCTCCACGTCCTGTCACCCGGCGAGCGCGCAGAGTCTCGATGTGAAGAGTAGGAATCCATCGTGGATATGTCGCGCTGAGTCTAGTGTGTGGGACGGTGAATGGCGTCTTTGTTGAGTTCAATTGACCTCTTCAGCCAGATTAAGTATCGCGTCGGCGTCGGGTAGCTGCGTGGTTGCTACTCATGTGATTTCGTTTCGCTTGCTCGATCGAAGGAAGGAAGGAGGAAGCCTGTTGGTTGGCAACATGATTGCGGTTAGAGAAATCATTCTGCAGGCGGAATACGTGACGGCTTCTGAGGGAAACGGAAGAAGAGATAGAGAAAGAATTGAGAATTCGGGACGGAAGTAGCAGTAAAAAGTGGTGCAGCTGCCAGAGGGCAAAGATGAGTTGAAAACCGACTCGTCACTCTGACGATGACGGTGCAAACGGAAGAAGAAGAAAGACGGAATGCCAAGTGAGGCCTGCTGAGAATGATTGACAAACGAGGATGGTTGGACAGGCAGTTGGGCGGGAGTAAGAATGGATGGTCTGGGAGAGGGAAGACAGGAATAATGGGGATTGAATTGAGGTGATGGATGGACAATAGGTTGCGGATGAGTAAAGATAATGCAGAAAGAAAGGGAAGAACGAACTATTCCGATGGCGAGGGCGTATGCCTCGACGATAAGACGCGTGATGTTGTCGTGATCCAAAAGGTAGAGGGTTTTGGGATGCACGAAGGAGAGGTTGAAGATGGGAAGGCTGACCCGACTCCGTACTCAGAGGGCGACGAGACGATGGGAGCGAGACACGAACAAAGGGTCGGCTGGAGAGGTCCACCTTGAGCGAAACGGGCTTAGTGTTTCTTTCGGAGGATCCTCGGCAGCGTCGGCACTCTTAACTGCATACGTCCTCGTTTTCGCATATGTGCTTGCCAGATACGAGTCGTTGACTGATCTGCACCTTTTCTACAAGGGAAGTAAGTACCTTACCTTATGATGGATAAGATGCCGCAGTCAATCAAGTCCAAAAAGAGTCTTTTCGAGTTGACTCTGCCTTCTCTACACAATGCATCCCGGGTACTGGCAAGCGCAGTAATCAGTGCCTTCCTCGAGACCTGCTAATGCTGTCGCAGCTGCCCCCAGCCGTGACAGGCGGGTCAATGTCCAGTGGAATTCAATTGCTGGAGAGCTGCAGACAACGGCGGTCGATCCCAGCGATCTCCAGAGCTTCACCCCTGTAGCGGCAGAAGCATGTCCATCTGAGGAACGGGGGTCCCCATCTGCCAAACTGCCACCTCAGCTGAGATAGAATGGGCGGATAGACAACGTGACAATTTTCACTGCTTTGACCCAATCGTCTTTCAAGAATTGACAAGCACCATATGCACCTTCTGATTCGTGAGTACGGCTGTCTTGCGCTTTCCCGTTCGTCAACATCGAAATTCGAAGTAGAAGTCGCCAGATTGAGGTGGTTCCTGACAGGAGACTTTCTCTACATTGCGTCATAGCTCTCCTGTAAGAGGATAGCTTCCTCGCATGTCGGACTGAGACCCGCCCCGAGGTTACTTCTCACCATCCGCATCGCATGTTCCAGACGAACCGTTGCATTTCACTTATAAACACACCACTCGCAATTATCGCGTCTAACACCTTTCTCACAATTCTAGTCAATTTCCCACCGACTACATAACCGAAATCGGCCACAATGACAACCTTCATCCCGGCCCTGACCTTACCCCACCAGGTCTTCGAGAATGCAGCCGCCTCGATCCTGCTCCCCATAGCTCTCGGCACGGCCGTCGGCTTCTCTTCGCGGCGTACGTTCCCCTTGAGGATACTTCACACCCTCAAAAAAAGGCGATACTAATAAAGCTCATGCAGCCAAGGATACTAAGAAGACCTATGCCGCCATCAAGAACCCTCCCGGCCGCCCTCCCGCGTGGGTGTTTGGTCCGGCATGGACTCTCCTTTACGGGTAAGCCTAACTTCCTCTCCCAAAACACTTCACCAACACGATGACGCTGTTCTCTGGTATCTAACAAACCCCCCTTCAAGACTAATGGGCTACTCCGCCTACCGTGCCTTCCACACGGGCCTCTCCCCAACCTCCACCCTCTCCCAAATCGCCGACACAAAACACGGCGCCACCCTCTACACGATCCAGCTCGGCCTCAACCTCATCTGGATGCCCCTCTTCTTCCTCCTCAAGCGCCCCGTCGCCGCCACCGTCGACATCCTCGCCCTCCTCGGCATAAACTCCTACCTCGCCTATCTCTGGGGCTCCGTCGACGCCGTCGCCGGCGCCTGCCTCGTCCCCTACCTCGGCTGGCTCTCCTTCGCGACCTACCTCTGCGCGGGAGCGGGCTACCTCAACGACTGGGACCTCAAGGGCGCCGAGGCGCGATACGAGGCCGAGCGGGCTGCCAAGGCTGGGAAGAAGCAGTAGTGTTGTGATTGTTACCGCTGTCGTGCGGGCGTGTGTGACTCGTGCAATGGTCTAGAGAAGGAAGATGACGAGGAGGAGTGGACTTGGTGGGCGTATCTGCGTGCTATGGCGTTCTAGTTGGTTATTGGCTGGCCTGTTCCTTACGTTGAGCGTTTACTAGGAAAATAAATTCGATATCCATCTTTATGAAAACATGTGCTCAACGTAGAATTGAAAACCGTTCAACGGGCAGACAATGTTTGAGAAGCTTGTAATAGATGAAAGGCGTACAGTTGTCACAGGTCATACATAGCCGTATGAAAACTGACGAGAATATAGGACAGGAAGGACTGGTCGACGTGGGTCTCAGCAGCTGTCGAGTAAAGCATTTACGTTACTACCATCATCACAGCCAGCAAGTCGCAAAGAATGCGCGGTACCTTGGTTAAGCCAGCAAGAGTAGTCTTCAAAGAGGAAGCCCCGGACGGTAGATGGCAACACATCAAATCGTATAGCCTTTGACTCAAGGTTGTATATAAAAGACTCAATAGTCTATGCTTACGTCTCTTCCCAACTTTTGGTAAAAACCCACATCCATCTAGCCGGGCCAATTCTGCCCAAAGTGTATGCACATGTATAAGTATATATACTGTTTCCGGAATCGTATCCCCTTGTACGCCTTCTAAATGCCAAATTGTATAAAACCACCTTCCCGTCTTCCTACCACAACAGCAGCCACAACCACCCAAGTCTAGGGATATCTCAAAAGGGTTTCGATACGTGTAAAGGGAAAAAATGACCTCTACTGCAGAGGGAAATGTCGCTTGAGGCCGTCAAAAACAATGAAAATGAAGGCCGAGCTGGGCGCCGAGCGAAGACACGTAATGCCACAGCCCCGGTACAGACCCCTCAAGCCGTGTTGCTGCCAGACGGCCGCGCCTTCCTGCCAGAATGACCGGTTCAGCGCTGCGTCGCCGATAGCTGCCGTCTGCATGCGCGACTTGATCGTGTCGGCCGGGAAGAAGAGGAAGTTGTATGACACACCGCCCGAGGCGCCCGCCAGCGCCTGTTGCCACAGCGGTAGTGGCTTCCCAACCAAGGCGTCCTTCTCTACTTGCGTCTTGGCCGACCTGGCGTTGAGCACGTTGAACATCTTCGTAACCGTCTCCTTGCTGCCGAACCATGCAGCGCAGCCGCCCGACTCGCGGATCAGAGTACCCATCTGTCCATGCCAGAAGCCCCTCATGCCTTGGTGGCGGTAGATATCGCGGACGACAGACAGCGGGCGCAGCTGTTGTGGTGCCCCCAAGCCGTCGGCGCCGGCAGGGGCCTGGATCTTGCACTTGACGAGTTCGACGGGCGTCAGGACGTATGAAGTGAAGAAGCCGGAGAAGGCACCGGTGAACCACAGGGCTGAGAGTGACAGCTCCTGGCCTTGGGGCGTCCAGCCCGACTGGTATACGGCGGCGCGACCGATCCGTTCGAAGAAGAACAGACTGCTGTTCTCGAGCGCGGCTCCGACGAGCGGTGCGCTGATACCGCGGTATAGGCCGCGGAAGCCTTCAGCCTTGAAGGACTGGCGAAAACAGTCGATCGGGCCCTTGTAGCGGAGGGGCTGGTTGTCGGGTTGGGATTGGAGGCGGACCTTGACCGTGTCGAAGGGGTACTCGATGTATTTTCCGACAACGCCGGCGACCTGGTAGTAATTGGCTCGTCAGCGAAATTCGCTCAAGGCTTCATTTGCAAGCGGGCAACTTACCGATCCGTAGACGATGTCCTCCATAGCCTCCAGAGCCGCGGTACGGCTCTTCTTCAGCGACACGGGTGCGTCATGGTGGGGAACCTCCATCGCTACTGCGGCCGAGTCCATTGTGATGGTAATTGCGAGGTGCGATGGCTAGCTGATAGCTGCCTGAGCTACTCGGAGGTCGTCAAAGGTATGCGTCAGGTCGGACGAAGGATCGAGCACCTCCAGTTATCCCTCAAAGGTCGGTGTGACGAGAGGAGGGGGTTATTGTGCTTTTGAGCGAGTTGGTCGTTCGACGAAAAAGTACCAGCCAGGATACCGCGCAGCTCAACAGCTTTTTGGGTTGCGGCCGTGAAACTTCGAGACCACCAAGTACATCAAAGAGCAAAACAAGAAACAAGTTTGCTCAAAAAAGGAGCAAGTGTAGGACGTCTGGTTGAATAGAAGGCTATTCAGCACTGTCCTCACTGCTCCCCCTCGTACTGAGTTGAATCAGGGAGGTGGGATGAACGTACAGGAAGACGGAGTACGGACGGGTACCGCGGGGCAAAAGCGAATGTAGCTGGGCAGTGTCCACGAGTGTGTCACCCAGCAAGCGCGCAACGCCCAAGAACTTTTTTTTCGGGGGTGGGTGGTATTCGATCAGAAAAATACCCACCGATACCGGGGAGGGTTTAGTTTAGTTTCCAAGTTGGGGATTCTTTGCACCAAGCTTGCGACCAATTCGAAGGGCTTGTTTGTGTCAGTGTCGATCCCGTTGGGTGAAATAATTCTCGCAACGTTGAAAAGCCCGCGCGCTAGAGAGAACGAGAGAGAGGGAGCGCGGGAGGGAGGCAGCCCAAAGACTCAGAGCTCAGAAGAGGAGAGAGAGGGAATTAACAACGTGGTTGTCAAAACGGCCAGCTCATGACTTGAAGAGGCGCATGGCATGGGGTTTATACTAGAACCACCATGTGAAAGAAACGGTGAAGGGCGGGCGCGCAGGTAGGAAGGAAGCGCGGAATTGCAAGTTGCTGGTGGAGTTTTGGGCGGCACCAGCAAGGCAAGGTCAGCATGGGAAGCGGTACATTCCCATCTTCCATGAATGAGGCAACTTGGATGTACCTATGGTACTATATACCTTGAGCCAAGTCACCTTGGGTCGGGTTGCAGAAAATTCTCTTGTCCTCTTTCCCTTTCCCGCTTCTGAATAAGGTACCCTGCCTGGTCCTTTTCATCGGGCACTGCTTCCTGCGTCTTGCAACGGGACACTAGGCGCACTTTCCAAGCCTAGAACATCCCTGGGGGTCCTGACATCAGACCGAGGGAGGAACATTGCGTAAAAGTGCTCTTCTTGGTGGGGTTAACTCTGAAGTGCCCTGTCACTCTGGTCGGCGGGAGCTAGGCAGTCGGGTGAGTTCTTGGAAACCCCGAACCGATGAAGGCGGGTGCTGAATCCTTCCCCGCTGTCGGTGTCAGGCACAGCAAGGAGCCCCGCCATCTGGGCAGGAACCAGGATCATACACAGTAGATATCGAGTCTCAATAGGCAAAAAGGTACTTGAGGTAACGAATCTGTTGGAACAGACATACAACGACAGATATGAATTTTAGGGATCAAATAAGGTCTCAGGACGTACATGAACACTCACAACGATCAGACACAGTTTTGTCCAAAAAAAACAACGATATGGGACGGTGTGGAGGGGCGACAGCAGAGACGGCACAAAAGTAGAGACGCTAACAGAACCGAGGCGCCGACGATAATGGCTCGGACATAAAATTTTTATCAGATCAGATTATCACGATAATCTATGAGGCCGGACCTAGTCCACTTTCATCTATTCAGTCTCTTTCCTCATCCACTCGCCATGCTACCGTCACCCATTACCCTACATTAGGCGCCCCACTGGCCCCCCTTGCCTGACGACTGCTGCTCCTCTCCACCGGCCCTCTTGTGCCCTCGTGTGGGTTTCTGCTGCGCGGCCTCGTGCCGCCGAAGCTCCTCGGGCACACGCGAGATGGAGCTCTTGGAGAGCATCTGCTTCAAGTCGTAGAATAGGTCCGCATCCTCGTTGCCCAAGAATGTAATGGCAACACCACTCTTGCCCGCGCGACCCGTACGACCGATGCGATGCGTGTAGCTCTCGATGCTGGTCGCCATGTTGAAGTTGATGACGAGACTGACGTCGGGCACGTCGATACCTCTTCCTGCCAAATCTGTCGCCACGAGAACCTGCGTCTGCCCATTGCGAACCGATGCCAGCGCCGCCTCTCTCTGCTCCTGCGTCTTGCTTCCGTGTAGCGTGACTGCAGAGTAGCCCATCTGTTTGACGTCTCGCGCAACAGCGTCGCAATTGCGCTTGATGTTGACGAATACGATGATGGGCGGGGCAAATTCTCCAGCGGCAAGGATCTCCTGCAGCCGCTTCTTCTTCTTGTCCTCGCCGGACACCATCTCGACCCGTTGCTCGACCGTATCGACGGCCTCGCCAGCATTACCGATCGTGACGATGGCCGGGCGCCGCAGATACTTTCTCGCAATTTTTTCGACAGTCGGCGGCATGGTGGCCGTGTACATCATCGTCTGTCTGTACCTGTCCCTGGCACCGAGATAACTCTTCATCAAGGTCGCATTTTCCGCATCGTCCGTGTCGGGCTTCTCGTTGGTCACCGGCAGGGCATCGAGAATCTTGTTCACTGACTCCTCGAACCCGAGATCGATCATCCGATCTGCTTCGTCCATGATGACGTAGCAACATTGAGACAGAACAAGAACGCGTCTTTCGATGCAATCAACCAGACGACCGGGAGTCGCGACAATAATCTCGGCACCTTTGCCCAATGCATGCACCTGTTCCTCCATGGAGTGACCACCCACGATGCTGACTACGTTGAAGCCAAGCGGATCGGCGAATTTGTGCGCTTCCGTCTCAATTTGCTGGACCAATTCACGCGTGGGCGCCAGGATCAAGGCGTACGCTCCGTCGTTTTTGTTAATTTCCGTTAGAGGCGGTAGATCCGAGATGTAGACCAGCAACGGCAGAAGAAACGCTGCAGTTTTACCCGAACCAGTGACAGCCACACCGATGAGATCTCGAGCCTGCATCGCGATAGGAATGGCTGCTCTCTGAATGGGCGAAGGGTCCTTGTAGCCCACTCTGTCGACGATCTCCAGTAGCCTTCGCGGCAATCCTGACTCTTTCCAGCTGCGCATCGGGTTGGGGATGAGACCACCCTTTGTCGCAATGCCAAAGTCTTCTTTGAAGATTCTCCAGTCGCGTTCCCGCATGTCTTCGAGTGTCTTTTTCGACCAGTGCTTGCCCAGGCCTGACCGATCTGCGCGCTCCTTTGCCTTCTCTCGTGCTTTGTAGAAGTCCTCCATGAACTCCTTTGCCCGTTGCTTTCCGAATTCGCGGTCTCTCTCCTCAATCATCCTTGCCCTTCTCCTCGCAATCTCTTCGGCTTCTTCAGTGTACTCGCCAGACAGACTGCCGAATGTGTAGGATTTCAGGGTTGTCGAGTTGGACTCGTACATTGGGTCGTTTTCGAGCGTGGTATCTTCTTCCGCATCCCATTCGAACTTGAACTCCGTTGCCCTCTTGCGCTTCTTCTTCACCGAGAAGTTGGACTGTTTGTTCACCTCCGGTCCGAGATACCGGTTGCGCAGCAGGTCGGCCTCGATAGCTTCTGCAGTCTTCTTCTCCTTGCCGTCCTTCGTTGTCGTCTTCCGTTCTGGCTTTTCCCGCCCGCGGCCTCCGGCACCTCGACCGTCTCTGCCGTTTTCCGTGCCATTCATGGCCTTGGGACCAGTAGGAACTCTGCTGCCATATCCATTCTGCGCTCTGTTATCGCCCGCGCCATTCGCTTCGGAAGCCCATTTCCTCTCCAGTTCTGCCTTCTTTTTCGCATCCTCCTCGGCTTTACGCTTGCGCTCTTCTTCCTCCTGTTTGGCCTTCTCTGCTGCCTGGCGCTCTCGTTCCTTCTTTGGGATGAATCGTAGCTTCGATGATGCAGCATCGGCGGCCTTCTTCTTTTTGAGAATCTCTTCGAGGTCCAAAGGGACCTTCTTCGCTTGGTTGGTGCTCATTTTCAGGTTGTGTGTGATGCTGTGAGGGAAGGATGAGGGAAAGCTTGCTGGGTTCGGAGATCTTCGTTATGGCAGTACGTGTTGAGTAGGTGCCGAGAATGGTGGAAACCCCTTGATGCGACAAAGGTCCACAGTTTCACTATCCGGTGTGGATGCAACAAGTGAGGGGATTGGAAGCAGTCTCTCGCAAAATCGTCGGCCGCTTGCAAGTTGAGTTGGGGCCCGGTGACTGTGTATTTCAGAAGTTAAAGATGGATGATTTATCTCAGATACCTCGAGAGAAGGCTGCGATTTGCGCCACAAGTCAGGAAGCGCCACACAATTGCGACCCAATCAGATCGCAGAGGTTCCGGCAATTCTTTCCCAAGCTCTTAGCTCCCACCCCTGTCAGTAGTATGCACGTACAGGGGTGGATAAGGCTGGTCTTCTCCCAAATTTGTCCAATGTATCGATTGAGAGAGCATCTCCGAACGGAAACTGACGAGGAGAAATCGCCCGACGAAACCCTCCACTCCCGTTCACGACAACGACCTGGCAATGCCACAGCGCTTGCACCAGAGGACATAAAGAAGACAGATACTCCCCTCGAGCATCCCGAATCCATCCACACACAATGGCCGCCGCCGAGCAATACATTCAGCTGGCAAAGACGCTGCCGGCGCAGCTCCAGCGCTTCTTCGCCCGCTGGCCGCCCGCCGCCATTCTGCCTCACAACGCGGCGACGCCCAAGACGGGTTTCCAGGAGATCACCCCGAACCCCTTCAAGTCGCAGAAGCACGCCGTCACGGGCAAGTGGCACGACCCCGTCTACTCCATGCGCCGCCAGGCCGAGATCGTCAAGCTCGCGCGCCAGCACGGCGTCGAGGAACTGCTGCCCCATACGGTCAAGGGCACCGAGTACAGGATTGCGCACCGCGTCGAACACGGATTAAGGGTGAAGGGTACCGGTGTTGGGCAAAAGGTCAAGGGAAAGATTCACGAGAGGATGGTGCAGCCCAGGTATGTCTTTACATCCTTCATTCGCAGTCGAGGAAACCTATCTGGGCTTTTGGACTGTTGGTCAAGTCGGAAAGAAATACTAATCATACATCTGCAGAATGGAGAAGAGGAGAGCGGCTGTGTTGGCGATGCCGAAGCTCATCAAGGAGTGGAAGAAGGTAAGCATTCATAATCTCATCGGATACTTGTCTGGAAACGGTATACTGACAAACTTGTACTAGGTTGGAAAGAAGAACTGGACGAGATTCCCCAAATAAGCACTTTGTTCGCACTTTCCACTTGCGCTGCGTCAATACCATAGACGATGTACATATACCATGTATTATCATGTATAAGAAACGAACTTCAATCAACTCCCGCCGTCTTGAACCCCATATTTGGGGATTTCCCCACGTCCGGGCAACGGGAAAATATTGACCTTTCCACCACATGCTCAGAAACTGGTGCAGATTGACGAGAATCACTAGGAGAACTTGACTTGGAAAGACTAGCTGCTGGTCACGTCTTCAAAAGCCATCTCGGAGGTTCATTTTCGAGTCGACACTTCAACCACAAACCACTCACGTGATCCCCGCAGAAACAAGCTTCCCAAAAAACTCCAATTCGCCAGGGAAATTTTCACTTACAATCCCAAAAAACGACAGCCCGCAATCCAAGCGGCCCTGCCCGCCGCCGCCGTTCTTCTCACTTACCCTCTTGGCCCAAAATGACTTCTTCATCCGCGGCTCAGGGAACAGGGCACACGCACTACGCGATCCTGGGTATAAGTCGCAAACTCGTGCAGGAACAGTCACCTACGGCGGGGCCGCAGCAAATCATCAAACGGGCCTACCACCGCGCCCTCCTCCAAAACCACCCGGACAAATACCCACAATTCAAGAGTACTCCTCCCTCCAGTACAACCACCCGAGCACTCTCTTCTTCTGCTACTGCCGCCACCTTTTCAATCGACCAGATCTCATCAGCTTACAAGGTCCTCTCGGACCCCAAGCAGAGGGCTGAATACGACCGCGCTCTAGACCTGGCACCAAATAATCAAGGTCTCCAGCGCGGCGACGGCGACGAGGAAAAAGCTTTCCAGACGGGCATCGAGGTCGTCGATCTTGACGACCTGGAAGTCGAGGAGCCTCCGTCAGACGATCCCGAGGCCGAGTGCTCTTGGTACCGTAGCTGCCGGTGCGGCAACCCACGCGGTTTCTTTTTTACGGAGGCGGACCTGGAAGAGGCGGGTGAGAACGGGGAGCTGCTCGTCGGTTGTCAAGATTGTAGTCTTTGGATGAAGGTACATTTTGCTGTTGTCTCGGATGATTGATGAAATGAATTGGGAAGGATGTCTCTTCAGACGAACATAGAATCAAAACACGAAACAAAACTGAAAAGACGCCGTGATTACCAACCAATTGTAATGAGGCCATGTCCATCTTGTCGGCTCGTTCACTCTCATGTTTGAGAGTGTACAAGTGTCGACCGAATGGATCCCTTAGATGATCTTTGCGATGTGTGCCGCCTTCATGCCAAATTGTCTCGCCGCATCATGATGAGTACCTTCTTCTCAGCCAATCTCAACTCCGTGGCCGTTATCTTTCTATCACGCATATTAAGCGCTCAAGATCCTCTTCTCAAAAACATACCGTCCTCCAATGTCTAGCGTTTCTGTCTTTGGCAATCGTCTCTCCAGCCCACCCCATAAGTCTGACTTGTGCTTCAAGCTGTTTGTAGACTCATACCTAAGTTTCAGCCTGTATGACTGGGCTCTTGGCCTTCTATGGTCGAATTGACGTCTCAAAGTTGCCCATCTACATGCAAATATGTCGAGCCACTTCACCTTTGTCGACCCAAGTGTACTGGTATAGAACACTTTAGACAACATCCCACCATTACCAGGTCAGAACTACTGGCAGTGCCACGCAACTGTATCACACGATTTTTTCGAACTGTTTTGCCGGATGTGCTTCTTTGAAAGCAATTTTAGTCTTTTTTTGTTGTTGTCCAGACGGCCTTGCATTAGAGTCTAAAAAAGCAAACGTGGAATCAACCTCCAAAATGCTCTTCTTTAGCCCCCAGCCAGCCCCGTGCTAGGAAAAATCAACCCCTTCACAATTCTTGTGTATTGCCTAAACGATGCCGATTCGCAAAAACGAAATCTCCAGTCCACACTCCGTAGACACCAGTCCACCCAAATCCGGCGATGAACGCAGGTTGCAGAATGCTACGAGACCAATCACACCTTACTCAGCCTTGGGCTCCTCAGCGGCAGCAGCAGCCGGCGCCTCGGCGGAGGCACCCTCCTCCTTGGCGGCGGCGGGGGCCTCGGTGGTGCCTGACGCCGCGGGCTCAGCCTCAGAAGAGGTCCATAGGGTCTATATTCGTTGTCAGCGGCTTTTCTTTTCCAGAGTTGGTCAGAGTCACTTACCAGGTTGTCACGGAGAAGCTGCATGATGAGGGTAGAATCCTTGTAAGACTCCTCGCTAAGGGTGTCAAGCTCTGTAGAGACGTTAGTGGGTTGCACCTGCTTCGAGGATGACGATACGGACCGGCAATGGCATCATCGAAAGCCTGCTTGGCAAGGTGGCAAGCCTGGTCGGGGGCGTTCAGAATCTCGTAGTAGAAGACGGAGAAGTTCAGGGCGAGGCCGAGGCGAATGGGGTGGGTAGGGGGAAGCTCGGTCTGGGCAACCTCGGTGGCAGCCTTGTAGGCCTCGAGGGACTTGTCGGCAGAGTCCTTGCGGCGATCGCCAACGGCGAACTCGGCAAGGTAGCGGTGGTAGTCACCCTTCCTACAGTGGTTGTCAACATATCGTCCCAACACCGAAATAGACGCGAATGCTTACATCTTGTGGTAGAAGACCTTGGACTCGCCAGACTTGGCAGAAGGGATGAGGTGGGCATCGAGGACATCGAGAATGTCGTCGCAGATCTTGGCAAGCTCGGCCTCGATCTTCTGGCGGTACTCCTTGATAAGGCCAACCTGGGAAGAGTTGCCCTTGGACTCCTCCTTCTGCTCGATGGAGGTGACGATTCTCCACGAGGCACGGCGGGCACCGATGACGTTCTTGTAGGCAACGGACAGGAGGTTGCGCTCCTCGACGGTGAGGTCACGGTCCTCGGAGGCGACGATCTTCATGTTCTCAACCATCTCTGGAAGCCCAATCATCAGTGTAATCCATCTTGTGCGATGAGGGATAGCCACGTACCCTCGTAGCGCTCAGCCTGCTCAGCAAGCTTGGCCAAGTACACAGCATCATCCTGACCCATTGTGGCGGTTGGTATCTGGAACGTTGGGATTGGTTAGCACGTGTGTCAGGAGACGAAGCCAAAATTGCGTTCTAAGTGTATTATGAATGTGAATTTTGGACTGGTTGGCAAATAGAAGCGCAAATTGAATTCGCAAGAGCGACGGGGTGAATTCAACGAGAGAAGAACGAGTTGCAGCGTATGCGCCTCGCTGACTTCATGACTTGGCTTCGGCCCCCCGCTCCTGGTGGGGTTTTGCGCCTGACCGATCAAGATAGGGCGCGCAGTGTCGGTGAAGCTCTCAATCGATGCAGAAAGATGGCCGGATGGCAGCTTCGTGAAGCGGTCGACGCAAATCGGTGACAGTCGGTTGTTGGGAATCGGTGGAAGGAGATTGCGGCGAGGGATGCGATGACGACAGAGGGGGCACGGGGGGATGGGGGGAGGGGACCACGTACCTTGGTGCGATGTTTTGAGGTTGGCGGGGATGTTCGAGTGGAACGATGGATAAGTTGTCAATGGAAGATTCCCGTGTCGAAACTCGAGTTGGATCGGAGCAGGGGAAGAGAGCGTGACGAAGGGTAAATAGAGGCGGGTGTGGGCGGTTTTGCAAAGGTAGTGCGAGAGTTTTGTGAAGTTGAGAAATGGATGAGACGAAAAGGTGATGGATGGAAATTGAGGAAGGGGCTCTGGGCTGCACAATACGTGAGGTGGCCCAGGCAAGACAAGGCAAGGCGACTGGACTGACTGGGGGGGAAACACGCTGGGGCGGTAGGTAGACGTAAGGTAAGGTAGGCAGGAGGGGGGGGGGGGTGGCTGCTGCCGCACCGACTGGACTGGACGGGAGCCGACTTGAGTGGTTGACTTCCTGCCAGGTTCCATGGGCACTGGGCAGGGACACACTGGGCTGGTGAGCCACGCTCTGGCCAGTCACGGTCGAGGGGCGTCTCAACCAATCCCCATCTGCGGCGAGCTAGCCCTGGAATGGCCGGCTCACGTGAATCATCCCGGGGTAGCGTCAGGTATTGCGGCTGTGCTCTGCGGCTGAGAGAGGCACCCCTCCAGAGTGGCAGAGCCCCCAAAGTCTTTCCAAACGTACGCATAATGCCTCCAGGGCTCTCCAGACTCTCCGTGCCTGCCTTAGGTACGCTACCAACCTGACTCTGCGACAGATAGTGGGGGGTACGCAGAGGTACATTCTCATACCTCTTTCCGCTCCTTTCTTTGGGTCCAATTCCCCGGGCTCTTTCCACAGGACACCGGGCCTCGCTCAATGCGGTCTTCCTCTCTCATTGCTTGTGGAAGGCCTTGAATCCAGGTACAAATATGATTAAGGCATACCCTATCTAACATGCCTCGTCACAAGTAGCCTGGTTTTGATCCAGGGCCTGTAAGAAGATAACTTCGTATACCAGTTCGCTGCCGCTGACCTTTACTTACCTATCCAGCTCCGACCTTGCTACACCCAGATCGCGTCACCTTGTTTGTTGTTGCTTCGCTTTCCATGGCCAAACTCTACCACCAGACTCTGAGTTTTGATCTACTGGGCCATATGCATACTGCGTACTTGCTTTCAAATCATACAACCTGCAAGTTGATGCGAGGCCAGACTCCTCCTGTCTTCTCTCATCCCACCTCGTCTCTTCTTTTCATGCAATCGCCGAGCGGCCACCGTGCCCCAATTCATCCTTTGAGTTCAGGCACTTGTTCCGTTGTTTGGTCACATTGGATTGACTTGCCTGACCCCAAGGTCTTTGAAAGCAAAACATCTTACTTCACGTCAATGTAGGTTCCATGCTGCTGTTCGTAGCCTGGACCCCTTGAACCAAGAAGGTGTGTTTCCTCGGCTGCCGTTGCCTGACTTGGCAGAGGGGATGGCACGAGATTTGGGAAGAAAGAGGCTATCCTTTCCTCTTCCTCACTAGCAGTCTGAAGCCATGAAGCCATCTCAGGTTTTGCCCAGGCAGCACTTATACACACGGCGTATGGGTTCTCTGTGGTCTGCAGAGGGCAGACGTTCTCCTCTCCACTAAAATGGTACCTCGGGCTGCGAGACAAAGACGGAAGACGTCGCACCACGATGACTACACACCACCGGCACCACGTCGGTCGCCTTTGAAGCGACAGATCTCCCGCATTTCTCGTCCACAGTCCCGGGGACCATCCCAGTCGAAAAAGGAGATTCAGCCTTGCCGGAGATAACAACAAGTGCTGATAAGGCTGCGACCTACGGAGTACCTACGGGCTTACGGATATCTGGAGAATGCAACCCACTGTGGAATACTGGACCTACGAGAATCATCGGAATGGAGATATGCGAGTCCCATTTTATGCATAAGCCGTCTCGGAGCAACAACACCGGCAGACCGGGTAAAACACCACACGCCTAATTCGCAGCCCTTGGTAGGTGCTCATAGATTCTTGCAGTTCAGTCCCAGCAAAAGGATAGCGTCTAGCATAGTTAAACGGTGCCCAGAATATGGAGGCAAATTGCTGTGTTGCGTGTTGGTCAGGACGGGATTATGCGGATGCTCACAATTGCATCAAAGCTTCATCGACTGCTTGGCCCATCTTGAGTACTGCGTACAGCAAGCACATTGAGTCAGGACGATTTGGCCGCATGCAGGTGACCACCACTCAGTGGCCTGAGGAAAGCACACTCAGGCAACCTCAGCGCAGCTCTCCGGTTCAGTGAACCAAACCCGTCGAAGCCGAGAAATGCCGGCACGACCATGTTAACGAGATACCTCGCTCACGCCGGGTATGACGTATCACATCCTCGTACCCCCATAGTCGGGTGAAGAAGGACAGACCGGAGTAAGCAGAAGCTCCCTCCCCCAACCAAGAAAGTGACCAGGCACTCCGTAGTTTGACAGGATCAGATCATCCCCTCCTCGTCCAATAAGCTCCCAAGCAGCATAGCAGCGTAGCCCCCCCTTCCCCGAGCAGGAGCTATTCCAGGCATTACCAGCACCCAGATCCCCACAATCCAACCTATCACAAAACCCGTCCGACTTGCACCATCGTCATCGGCCAACTTGCTTCACTACAAAAACATAAACACCTCCAATTGGAATCCCCAAAACCCCTCGAGCACCCTCTAGATACTTCTTTCAAAATGATGCGCATCACTGCTACCAAGGCCGCGGCCCGCCCCCTCACTCTCGCCTCGAGAGCTTGCTTCAGCACCACTGCTCGCACCATGAGCGAGGGCGACACTGGAGCTCCCTCCAAGTACGGAGGCGGGTAAGTCTTCGCTCCTCCTCTCACTCTCTCTCTCTCTCTCTCTCTCTCTCTCTCTCTCTCTCTCTCTCTCTCTCTCTCTCTCTCTCTCTCTCGCAGCCCCCTTCCGCACAAACGCAGTCGTTCCCATGACCCATTGTCATTGTCGACAGTTCGAAAAGCGAGGCTGCAATCGACAGCGAACAGATGCAAAGAATGGAAACGAGCACAAAGGCTGACAATTTGCCCAACACAGTGACGCCTTCCAGAAGCGCGAAAAGGCCAACGAGGACTACGCCATCCGCCAGCGCGAGAAGGAGAAGCTCCTCGAGCTCAAGAAGAAGCTCAGCGAGCAGCAGGCCCACCTCCAGCAGCTGTCTGACCACATGTTCGTCCACCACCTTTCATCCTTCCACGCCTTTCCACCTTTTCCCCCTTCCAAACCCGCCCCATCCGCGTGCAATGACGTCGACTTTGTACATTTGCTAATAACGGCACCCAAAACAGTGACGAGATCACCAAAAACCAGGGTGGCGAGCACAACTAAATTCAAAATCATAAAGATGCAATTTCCTCCTCGCTTCACGGAGGAGGTCTTTTCAAAGCGATAATACCAAATGGAGAGGATTGGCTCAGGGAAAGCCGGACAAATGTACTAAATCTGAAAGGGGAAAGCAGAGACTGATGATGGTCCGCGTAAACGCGAGCAAACGTCTGAATTTTGAAGCTTTTCAATCTCATGTAAACCATTCAAGAAACAAACACCTGGTATTCACCCACAAGTTCTATGCTACTGTACAACGTACTCTTTGTGTTGCTCAATGCATTACCACCTTTGCGGTGCCGAATCCATCCAACTCAACTGTTGCTAAGCGGCCCATCTCTGTTCAAGAAAGACCACCTCAAATTGAGCGATTAATGACAACCAACCCCCGAGATTCTGAGTTGTCTTTCATTGTTGCATGTCCTAGCCCCTTGTCTCTCGTAACCTATGCTGCCTAGCAAAAAAAACCAAACTCTACACGAACCCTTTACCGTGTGTCCTGACCTTCATCAACGCCGGCCCATGTAAGATCGGTAAAAGCTCTCTGCAGCGTCGTTCTCCGGCGCTCCGTATTGGCTTCCCAGGTTGTTGTTCGCCTTCTGCGCGGATGAGACCTTGGCCTGCAGAGATGCGGCGTTGGAGTCGATCCATTGGAGCTGGCCGAGATGACCATTGAGAACGCGAACAATCTGGCTCAACTGTAGTGAGAAGGTCAGCTTTGCAGGTGCAACATGTGGGGAAAAATCAATATCACTTACGGGATCCTCAGGCTTGGTGCCCTTGCTAAGAGTACCAGAAATGTCGTTGATCTCCTTAACCATCTTCGACAGGTCTCTACTCTTCTCGTCAAGGTTCTGTGTGAGCTTCTCGGCAAGCTTGTATGTCCGCTCGCGCTCCTGGTCGGGTCCGGCAAGGGTCTCGCCCTGTCCCATCTGGCGGGAGAACATCTCCTTGACGTCGGCCTCGTAACGGTTCAGCCAGTCCTCAAGTTCATCCTGCTGGCTCTCGACGGCTTGAAGTTGGCGCTCAATCTCGTGACTCGCCTTCTCGGCCTCGAAGGTGTTAAGGTAGAGCTTCTGAATCTTCTCGCCGTTGTCGACCAGGCCCAGATCCCAGTCGGCGACCTGGTTGGCGTAGTGCTTGAAGTCCTTCTGGTATTTGGACAAATCAGAAGCCCACCGTGTAATGATGTCGTCCATGGACTTGTTCTTCAGGCGAGGCAGCTGGGACGTGGGGCCAGTGGTGGAGGCAGCGAGGGTATTTGAGTTGCCGGTTGTGGCAGATGTGGTGGCGGGCGTAGTGCCATTCTGAGCTGATGTTCCAGCTGCCGGGGTAGCTGCTGGCTTAGCTCCGAAAAGACCACCAGCTGCAGCCGTTGTGCTGGGCGCGGCAGCTGATGTGGTTGTAGCGGCGGTAGTCGCAGTCGCCGCAGGGGTAGAAGCTGGCTGAGAGGTGCCAGCTGCAGGTGTAGCTCCAAAGAGTCCTCCGCTCGCAGGCTTGCTCGCAGGTGTAGCTGCGGCCGCACCACCAAACAGTGACGAAGGTGCCGCTGCGGTGGTGGGAGTAGAGGCTGAGGGTGCAGCAGGCTTCGCGCCGCCAAACAGACCTCCAGTACTTGCGCCAGCCTGTGTCGTGGCAGCTGCTGGCGTCGAAGATGTGTTGCCGCCAAACAGACCACCGGCGGGGGCCGCAGCTGGTGTTGAGGTTGTAGGAGTGGCAGGCTTTGCGCCGCCAAAGAGTCCACCGCCGGCAGCGGGAGCAGCGGCAGAAGTGGAAGCCGGCTGTGCTGAGGTAGCGGTGGCAGCGCCTTGGCCGAAAAGACCACCGGAGCTAGGAGCGGCGGCAGCAGCAGGTTTTGAGCCTCCGAATAGACCACCGGCCGCAGCAGGCTGCTGTGGTGTTTGACCGCCGAAAAGACCACCGGCACTGGCTGGCTGCGCTGTAGATGCAACCTGGGACTGAGCCGCACCACCAAAGAGGCCACCGCTGGCGGGAGGTTTGGCCGTCGAAGCAGCCGTAGCCGGTGCGGCGCCGGCCGCAGCAGATCCAGACGCCGCAGCAGCTCCAAACAAGCCTCCAGTAGCTGGCTTCTTGTCAGCAGGCGGAGCTCCGGCTGGTGTGGTAGATCCTCCTAGAGAGAACATGGGCTTTGCGGGAGTGGCCTGGGTTGCTGGAGCACCGGCGGGTGTGCTTGAGGCGGGCTTGTTACCAAACAGGCCTCCAGCTGCGGCAGGAGCGGGTGTGGTCGACGCGCCCGCTGCGGCATTCTGACCGAACAAGCCTCCAGTGGGAGCAGGACTGGCAGTGTTTCCACCGCCGAAGAGACCTCCAGCTGGCTTCGCCGCCGCACCTCCTCCGAAAAGACCTCCTGACGATGCGGCCGGTGTGCCGGTCGAGGCAGCGGCACCGCCACCAAAGAGCCCTCCAGTAGGCGTGGATGTGCTAGGTGTAGAAGCACCGGCTCCTCCAAACAAGCCGCCAGATGCGGGAGTCGAAGAAGCACCGGCAGCGGGCTTGGCGCCAAAGAGACCTCCTCCAGCCGATCCAGGCGTTCCTGCAGCAGCGGCCGGCGTGCCACCGCCAAAGAGTCCGCCTGCTGGTTTCTGTGCAGTGTTCTGTCCGAAGAGACCTCCGCCTGAAGCCGGTGTGCTGGCGGTCGATCCAGCTGCCGCTCCTCCAGATCCTAGGTTGCCGAAGGAAAAGCTGGGAGTGCCGCTGGAGGCAGCAGCGCCGCCGAAGAGACCTCCAGATGCGGGCGCAGAGGTTGCCGGGGTCGAGCCGCTGTTCGACGTCGGCGTAGCTGTGTTACCAAAGCTGAACGACATTGTGTGGAAGATTCGTGAATCGATTGGGGCCTGTCGAGATGAAGCCTAACGGAGTCTCGCAAGCTATGTGCGAGCTAGTGACAACAAGCTGATGTCTGGACAATCGTATTTCGTTCGGTTCAGTGTCGTCGCATTGAGGTGCGAATCGACCCCCTAAAGCTCTGTTGTTCGTCGATGAAGCAATCGTATCTGGCTCGTAGATATGCGCTGACTCGTTGCGACGTGTGGTTGCTACCGGCTGTTGGGGGGAGCTGCAACTGGTGTTGATGGTTGACAGCTTTTTTTTTGTGATGCTCCAGCCTTTCAGGCCTTGCCTCCACGCGACTGGCGCGCTGCACCTGCCCAAAGACGCAGGACCAGGGACAGGCTGCCTATCAAGTACTAGCGCGAAATTAACCGGGGTGTGCCCCACGTGATGCTTGGCGGGCGAGTCTAGAAGCTGCAAGAGGTGCTTGAGCCTTGATAGGTACCGTCTGCGAGCCTGCTTTTCTTATGCCACCCAGCCCAAGAGCCTGAAAGTCGCTTCCATTCTTTCTCGTCGTCTTTGTGTCAACAAGCCCTTGCCTAAGCTTGACTCCTTCCAAAGTTGCGGTTGCCCTCAAATCATCGATTTGGGGATATCGTTCTTGCTAGTTGCTACCTACTTATACCTATTCGGCCCACACAATTACGTATCCGCTAATCGACAGGCTCCCCCTCCACTGCCCACTCCTATTCTCTCCCACCATCGATAACTCCCTAAGCTGCCTCAGCTTGTTGTAACCTCAAGAAACATTGCCCTATTATTCCTACAGCTCTCAATTGGGCTCACAACGGAATCATGTCAGACGACGAGGCTCTTTCACCGCCGAAACGGTCTGGAACTAGCGACCCTGGCGCGCACGATCTGGGTAAGCAACCCCCACCCCTTGTCAATGTCTCCCTTGATGATCGTGCAGCCGTTTTTGTCTAACAATCTGCAGCCAACGCCTCCGACTCAGAAGACCACTTCTCCGATGCGCAATCCGCTCCCCTCAGCCCCGGAACGTCTCCGATTCCCAAAACCCGCGTAGAGAAAGTCGACGATGAACCGTCGTACGGCGAGGTCCCCGGAACAGAGGCGTACCGCTTGAGGGAGGGTGACGCTGAGCCGGACGAGATTGCTATCCAGGAGAAGAACAGCAGCGAGGCGTCGTCGACGGCAGACAGTGCGCCCAAGTCGCCAGTCATTCCCAAGACTGTCGTCGAGGAGGCCCCGGGCGATTCAGGGCCGCACTCAGAGGAGTTTTTGGAGAAGCGCAAGGCAGATGCCCCAGCCGACTTGATTGTCAAGCCTGACGGCGAGACTGAAGAGGGTGGCAGTTCCGGTACGATGTAGAGATCCCTGAAATTCAAAGAGCATTTTGTCGTTGACCTGGCGTCATTCTTCGTAGATCTCCCCCCTGTATCACCTGCGCTATCAACACCAAGCTCGCCTCGTATAAAGCGGCAACCCTCCAAAACGGCACTCTCGTCTGCTCCGTCCAGCGCCGGCCTTGCGCCTCCTCCCGATGCAGCTGACAACGATGACGAGGAAGGAGAGGACGCTGAAGGCGGAGACGAGGATGATGATGACTTTGGTGACGATTTCGACGACTTTGAAGAGGGTGCTGAGGCCGACGGTGACTTTGACGACTTTGAAGATGGATTCCAAGAACCCGAGTTCCAAGCTCCAGCTCCGGCTCCAGCGCCCAGCTTACCACAAGTACCAGCACTGCCTTTCGTAAGCATATTGCTATTCCAAGTTCGTTTGACTGTTCTAACACCTCAATCCAGGATATACCAGACTTTGACGGCTTGGACGGCGAAGACGTCCTACAAGCCGTCGACCCATACCTCAACACCCTCTTTCCCCCAGAGAGCCTAGACGTCAGCTCCCCGCCACCGTTAACGAAAGAAAACCCCATCTTCATTACACCGCGTAGTGCGTCACTGTGGTCGCAGCTGGTGGCACCTCCGCCGCTGGCTCCCCCAGATTGGATCCGCTCGCGAATCCGCCGTCTCTTTCTCGTCTCCTTAGGCGTGCCGGTCGATCTGGACGAGATCCTCCCGGCCTCCAAGCAAAAGAAGCTTGTGCTGCCTTCATTACAAGTCCCCTCCGGCTCCCCGCGGACATCATCAGATTCTCGATCCGTATCACGGGTGCGGGCCGAGGCAAAC